CACTGTAGGGCGTGTGCGCTCGCCAGACAGACAGAGAGAGACATAGAGACAGAAAGCAAGAAATCACCCCCCGGGGGGGATGGTCACGCCGCAATCCCTTCTCCTCCATTCTCCTCTCGGGATCTTGGGCACACGCACTCGGCGTGAGTTTTAAGCCATCGGGTCCGGGTCGACACGAACCGCGGTCGACTACGTGGGAGTCCAGCGACATAGCCATTACACTAACTGCTGGTTCCCAAGAAGAACAGCTTTAAGGGTTTATCTGTGGTCAAAAGAAACCATGCCTTGAATCCAGGCCTCTATGTGGTCCTAACATTTGGATAACATCCTCTTAGTAGTGCACACTACTGCAGCTGGATCTTGTTAAACATTTTTAATTCCAGAAATAAACAAAAAGTACTATGCATCATTGAGGTGGGTCTTGGGAAGAAAACAAATATTCCCTCACCCCTGAGTATATTGTTTCGGCAAATGAAATCATAATAGGAGACAGTCTTTCCTTCCTTCCTTCCTTCCTGTCTCTCCCTCTCCCTCTCTCTGTCTATTTTATTTATTTATTTATTTATTTATTTATTTGCGAAAGGGCCATGCCCTCACGAGAGAGAGAAGCAGAGGAGAAATCATATCCCATGGGGAATGGATCACACCACAATTCCTACTCTTCCAACTCCCCCTGTTTCCAGGATTTTGAACACTCACACAGATGCACCTGGCATGTTTCTCAAGCCATTGGGTCCAGAACTCAAACTGAATGGGTTGGCCACGTGAGATCCAGCTGCCTGTCTGGAGATGCCCTGGATACAGAGTATTTCAAACATACTTGACCTATTTTAAAAATCCCTGAGTACCCAGTTCTCCTTGCTGGTCTGATTGCGGAGGTTCAGAAAAGCTAGTCTGCAGTCACAGAGTGACCAGGGGCACGTATGAGCAGCTCTAGAAGATGGTTGTGATACAAACACCATGGAAAATTAGGGGTCACTTCAGTGTCTGCTGTAGAGTGTGGACATTTGGCCCTGTTAGGCAAGGACATATGGTATTTGTTCTTGATAGGCTTATTTCACTTTGCATTGTATTTTCTAGGTCCATCCACTCTTTGTCAAATGGCAGTCATTTAGGCATTTAACGCATTTTTTTAAAAAAAATTAGAATTATTAAATGAACACAACATAATATGATGGTCAATGTTGGAGAAGATGAATATGCGTGTAGTTTAATTTGCTTATTATGCACTGCATGCTTGCTTTAGAAAAACCATACTGCAGCTCACAAAGATATACATCAATTATATGTAAATGAGAAATAATTAAAAATAAACAATTAATAAAAAGAGATGCCAGGGGTCCAGCAGGTGGCGTGGTAGTTAAGGTGCTGGATTCTCACATAGTCAAACAGAGTTCGAGTCCCAGACCTAGCAGCTTGAAAATCATGCTGGACATGCATGTGTGCATGCTCAAAAATCTCAGGAGGAGAATGGAAAAGAAGCAAGAAACAGCCCACACTCTGCCTGCAGGAATGAAAACATTCACATAGTATTTAGCAACAATAAGCCAGTCATGTGACCCCTGCAGAACCACTGCAATTCTCTTAGATTTAGTTCCCCCATGAGCAATGCAGGTAACATTAGATTCGTGATCTCTGGGCCTTCTTAGATTTCAACTTGAACGGCTGCGACTATGACTCACCTACAGTAATGAGTTCTATCACCCGGCTAACATGGTACTGCTTCCCCAGGTATGTGTACGATGTGCGACAAGTGTAGTTCCCTCTGTGCTCTTCAGCCACGTTACTCACAATGAGTTTATCTGCAACTCCGGAAAAGCACGTCTCATCAAGAGGGAAAGGTTTGCAATCCTAGATAAAAGGAGAAGAAAGAAACACTGAAAAGCAATGAATAATTTCCCCCAATCTACCAGCAAGAGGAATTCTAATTTTTCACATTAACAAATGTTCTATTTTGAAAAAGTAGCTAGAAGGGTCCCTTCCATACATTAAATTTTAGTATCATATTTCTGGTTCTTTGCACAGGTTAATTATTTTCCTACAATACTATTTTTTATGCTTACGAGACTTGTGTTAGGAGGGCAAGTGAAGACAAATTTATTTTGCAAGAAAAATGTGTTGGAGGAAAGAAAGGTAACACTACAGTTTCTTGTCAACAACGGTCCATCCTTTCTTCACTGATATTATTTTTATTGAATTTCTGAACCTCCGTGAGATGATTCCCCATTTAAGTTACATCAAACTAAGTAGATAAAAGTTACCAAAACATAACGCATTTCATGGAATGCTAGCCAACCCACTTTTTTTTTCTTTTTTTATGAGAGGTTTTTGCTATAGGGCATGTGCGCTCGCCAGACAGACAGAGAGAGACAGAGAGACAGAAAGCGAGAAATCACCCTCGCTTCAATCAATCTCTTCTCCTCCATTCTCCTCTCGGGATCTTGGGCACGCACACATACGCACCTGGTGTGAGTTTAAGCCACCAGGTCCAGGACTGAAACCGCGGTCGATTACATGGGAATCCACCGATATAGCCATTACACTAACTGCTGGTCCCTGCTAGCCAACCCACTTTTAAGACAGTTACAGACACTACCAGGTTATCTGAGGACCCCTTAATATCTTTGTGAAAACACAAAACAATATATTTTCAAGAAATAGCTATCTCTTCAATAATTTAAACTTATAATCAGCCTTTTCATGAAACATCTTTTATTTCTTCTATAGCTTTCTTAACTATATTTTATCAAACTAAAAGCAACTGCAAGAAAGATTTTAGCTAAGTTTAAAATTAAATGAGTGCAGTCTTTCATAATTTCATAATTTCTTTTCAGATTCCCTATTAAGTTTTACCAGTGAAGACAAAACAATGTGCCAAGTGGAAAAAGCAGTTTGTACACCCATCCTATTGTCCAGATAGAAAACTATGCTATTTGCTGGGAAGGTAAAATGCCACATTTCAAATACAATTACCTTATACCATTGTATTTTGGGTAACTCGTTATTCTCATCTTTAAAATAATCCAGATAAGGGCACACAATTTTTCCATCGCCTGCAACAGGTAGTCTCTGTGCAAATCTCGCTTGTGTATTAAAACACAAGTCAGGATCGTTCTCCACGAATTCTACAGTTACTTTAATTCTGAGACAGTGCGATGCATTTCTAAAATAAAGTAAAATAAGTGAGTTAAGCAGTATGACAGTATTTTTCTGTCCTTAGTTGCTATAGAATTCATTCCTTTCTTACCTTACCACACAGTAGTAATATCCTGAATCCTCCACCTTAGCAGGAATAAACCAAAGGTTGTCTTCACGTTGACGAATCCTAGACACAGGATCCATAGGTAGAGGTATCTTGCTGTCATTTTTATACCAACTTATGGTGCCTTTGTCTTCATTTGGGTTAAGGGGACAGGTACGAACATCAATTTCATCTGCAGATGAAACTACATGAATTATGCTTTCACGTTCCATGCAGTTATCTTTAAAAGGGAAAAAGAGGAAGTAATCGCCATTTAAAAATTTGCCAGTATTTTCCAATGTGATACCAACGTATAAACACACCAAGCATTAAATACATCAGCTGGTATATAAAAGCATTACCACCTCATGATTAAGAGCGTTATCTTGAGAGTATTAAAAAATGTACACCCAAGTCTAGCAGGGTTATTATCTGTGTGCTGCGTTCCTGGGCAAGATAATCTCTCATTCTCACTTTGCCCATCTAAAAAATGGAGCTAATGTAGGAGAAGAGACAGCCCTTTAGAATGACATGGAATAACAAGGACTGCATTTACCCTCCTACAATTAAAAACTGAACAAAGCAGGGGCTAGTAGGTAGCGTAGTGGCTAATCCACACTCCCATGTGGTCAGCCACAGTTCGAGTCCCACACATGGCAGCTTGAGACACACTGGGCGCATGTGCAAAATCTCCAGAGGAGAATGGAGGAGAAAAGACTATGGTGTGGCCATCTCCCGTGGTGGTGGTGGTGGTGGTGGTTGGGGTGGTGATTTCTCGCTTTCTGTCTCTCTGTCTCTCCAGTGAGTGCATGTGCCCTATAGTAAAAAATCTATAAAAACAAAACAAAAACCCTGGATGAAGCATATTAGAAAACACCGCTCAAGACATTGAATATCAGAAAATAAAGGTGAAAGATCTAGAAAGATAGGAAACAAAGATGAGCACACAGTTGTCCAAAATTTCTGCCCAAATGACTGCCAGGCCACGCCACTGCAGAGAGAAAATACGGGCAAACCCCATGCTCTCTCTGAGATGAGCTGATGAGCCAGGGATCTGGGGAGATGAAGAATTTGCAAGGCAGAGCACTCAATGGGTACAGCTACATGGAAAGCGACAGTGAGTTTGGAGACCTCCAGAGTCTGTCTCCAGTTCTCAGCTAAGTACCAGTCAGCGAGGAAATGATGCGAGGTTAGAGTGAGAACTGCCAGGCAGGTTACAGGGAAGCAGACCTTCAGCACACACAGTGCTGGGACAGCCGCTATGCCCCCAGCCGGAATGGACACCCGCATTAATCACAGGGCATCCCGTAAAGTGAGAAGGGTTCTGACTCCGAGGTGGAGGATAATTAGGCTTAGAATGCATCTTTTTCTGACGGTAAAAAGCGTGGAAGAAAAACTTGAAAGGATCAAGCTGTTTCTGAGTAACAGTGGTGTGGCAGAGCAAAGGTCCAGGGCAGTTTTCAGTAATATAAAAGCCTCTCGCATAGCACAGCCCACGATGTTCAGTGACTGGCACAGATCAGGAGAGTGGAGGCCCAGCCAGAGCGGCACACAGTGAGGCGGAAGTCCATGGGAAGGTCTGGGCTTCAGAGCTGAGGGTAACCAGAACATGTCAGGTCCCCTGTGATCCTAGCTGGCTGGAAAACGGGGGGACCAAAGCAAGGTGAGGTTCTGTCAGGAGGTCAATTGTCAAGGGGTCAACTGTCCCTCTCCTTTTTGTTCTCTCTCTTTCATTGAAATTAAATCAACTTAAAAAATCATGAAGCATGGAAATAAACAATAATAGATAACAGTAACGATGAGGGGGGGAGGGGATCAACCAACTGAAACCGATCCAGGAACGACATAGACGGAAGACTTCACAGAGGAGGTCATTCTAGAGACTGTAAGGGAGGGCAGTGGATGGTGGAGAGTGGGTGGTGGAGGCTGGGTGTGAGGTGCACAGGGCAGAAGCGCTAAACAGACCCAGAAATGTCAAGTTCTTTCTTGAAAAAAATGTATATTGAATCCATCATGACGGAGACTATGCAAAATGTGAAATTCATCTGAAAATAGCTGTGACATAAGTTAAAGTGATAGCGTTAAAAAATAAATACGTAAAAAGGAAAAAAGATGAGGTCATTAAAACAGCTATTCTGACTGTATTCCTTTTCTCCAGCCTCCTAGAGGAAAGACCTCGCACACTGAGGAGAGACATCAAAACAAATTTCAAAATGGACAAACTTACAGAGACGAAAACTATGATTCTGAGTTAAAATATACAGTGGATAAGATTAAGAGCAGATTTGACATTACAGAAAAAAAGATCAGTGAACTTGAAAGTGTGTGTGTATGTATGCTTGGTACTGTGTGGTTAGGTCTTGACCTAATCTGAACACTTCACTGGGGTTTTCATGAGACAGGATGACAAGGCAGCATAAACAGTTCAGGACGGACAGATTTTAATAGCTGGGGTGGTGATTTCTCGCTTTCTGTCTCTCTGTCTCTCCAGTGAGTGCATGTGCCCTATAGTAAAAAATCTATAAAAACAAAACAAAAACCCTGGATGAAGCATATTAGAAAACACCGCTCAAGACATTGAATATCAGAAAATAAAGGTGAAAGATCCAGAAAGATAGGAAACAAAGATGAGCACACAGTTGTCCAAAATTTCTACCCAAATGACTGCCAGGCCACGCCACTGCAGAGAGAAAATACGGGCAAACCCCATGCTCTCTCTGAGATGAGCTGATGAGCCAGGGATCTGGGGAGATGAAGAATTTGCAAGGCAGAGCACTCAATGGGTACAGCTACATGGAAAGCGACAGTGAGTTTGGAGACCTCCAGAGTCTGTCTCCAGTTCTCAGCTAAGTACCAGTCAGCGAGGAAATGATGCGAGGTTAGAGTGAGAACTGCCAGGCAGGTTACAGGGAAGCAGACCTTCAGCACACACAGTGCTGGGACAGCCGCTATGCCCCCAGCCGGAATGGACACCCGCATTAATCACAGGGCATCCCGTAAAGTGAGAAGGGTTCTGACTCCGAGGTGGAGGATAATTAGGCTTAGAATGCATCTTTTTCTGACGGTAAAAAGCGTGGAAGAAAAACTTGAAAGGATCAAGCTGTTTCTGAGTAACAGTGGTGTGGCAGAGCAAAGGTCCAGGGCAGTTTTCAGTAATATAAAAGCCTCTCGCATAGCACAGCCCACGATGTTCAGTGACTGGCACAGATCAGGAGAGTGGAGGCCCAGCCAGAGCGGCACACAGTGAGGCGGAAGTCCATGGGAAGGTCTGGGCTTCAGAGCTGAGGGTAACCAGAACATGTCAGGTCCCCTGTGATCCTAGCTGGCTGGAAAACGGGGGGACCAAAGCAAGGTGAGGTTCTGTCAGGAGGTCAATTGTCAAGGGGTCAACTGTCCCTCTCCTTTTTGTTCTCTCTCTTTCATTGAAATTAAATCAACTTAAAAAATCATGAAGCATGGAAATAAACAATAATAGATAACAGTAACGATGAGGGGGGGAGGGGATCAACCAACTGAAACCGATCCAGGAACGACATAGACGGAAGACTTCACAGAGGAGGTCATTCTAGAGACTGTAAGGGAGAGCAGTGGATGGTGGAGAGTGGGTGGTGGAGGCTGGGTGTGAGGTGCACAGGGCAGAAGCGCTAAACAGACCCAGAAATGTCAAGTTCTTTCTTGAAAAAAATGTATATTGAATCCATCATGACGGAGACTATGCTTGAAAAAAATGTATATTGAATCCATCATGACAGAGACTTTATGTAAAATGTGAAATTCATCTGAAAATAGCTGTGACATAAGTTAAAGTGATAGCGTTAAAAAATAAATACAAAATAGCTGTGACATAAGTTAAAGTGATAGCAAAAAAAAATAAATAAGTAAAAAGGAAAAAAGATGAGGTCATTAAAACAGCTATTCTGACTGTATTCCTTTTCTCCAGCCTCCTAGAGGAAAGACCTCGCACACTGAGGAGAGACATCAAAACAAATTTCAAAATGGACAAACTTACAGAGACGAAAACTATGATTCTGAGTTAAAATATACAGTGGATAAGATTAAGAGCAGATTTGACATTACAGAAAAAAAGATCAGTGAACTTGAAAGTGTGTGTGTATGTATGCTTGGTACTGTGTGGTTAGGTCTTGACCTAATCTGAACACTTCACTGGGGTTTTCATGAGACAGGATGACAAGGCAGCATAAACAGTTCAGGACGGACAGATTTTAATAGCTGTAGCGGATGAGCACAGGGGTTGTCCCTCGTTGTCTGGTACTTGGCCTTGGACCAGACGGTCTGCACATGAAACGTGGGTTCCAGGCAAGCTGTCCATCACTCCCAGTAATCGCCTAGTCTTCAGAGGGGGTGTTACTAACAGGGTATGAAAGACTCCCCGGAGATGTCAGAGTACCGTAAGACACAGGTAATAAAAACACAGGATGAACGCAGCAGCAGAAGATAGTAAATGGTGTAGGTAAGAGAGGAGATCAATAAAATATAAATAGACGAATAGAGAAAGATGAAAGATAGCAAAAGCCAGTCACTTCATAAAATACACGGAATTGATCAATTTCTAGCCAGATTAATCAGAGGGAGGAAAAAAAGGTACATCTCAATAAAAAGACTTTTTAAGGGTAATACAAAAACTTATGAATTGTGGGATCAGCAGTTGGCATAATGGCTATGTCACTAGACTCCCATGTAGTCTACAATGGTTCGAGTCCTGTACCCGGTGGCTTAAACTCATGCTAGACATGTGCGTGCGTGCCCAAGACCCCGAGAGAATGGAGGAGAAGCGATTGTGGCGTGGCCATCCCCCCTGGGGGCTGATTCCTCGCTTTCTGTCTCTCTGTCTCTCTCTGTCTTTCTAGTGACCACACACGTCCTATAGCAAAAATTCTCTCTCAAAAAAAAAATATGAATGACTTTAGGCCAATATGTGTTCCACAACATATATGAAATGGACAAATTCTTTAAAAGAAACAGATTACTAAAGATTGCACAAGAAGAAACAGATAACCTGAATTGCCCCATATCAATTAAAGAAACTCAATTTAAAACCTTTCTAGGTTTCAACCTCGGAATTTTACCCACTTAAAACCTTCCTACAAAGAAAATTTCAGGCCTAGGTGACTTCAGTGGGGTATTGTAGCAAGTACTTATCAAAAAGAAAACAACACAAACTATTTTATACAAACACTTTCAAACAATTGTAAAGTCAGTAATACTTTCCAGCTCACTTGG